GGTTATCTTACTAAGAACCGCTATTCTCTGGGACAACTTCTTGCACAGTTCCTCAACGTGTACATCAAAGCTTAAGTGTTTGTCAATAGTTACCCCAAGAGTTTCTGACTATCAACCTGTTCTATGTCAGAGTTAGCAAGTTTGAGCTCCAGTGAACAATTTTCAAGCTTGCAATGTATGCGTTTCCCTGTAACAAGGTCACATTTCGTCTTCGCAGCGTTTGTAACCATTTTGTTAGCAGCCGACCACCGCGAGACGTCATCTAAGTCCTGTTGGAAGGCTGATGACATGGTAGTAAGTCCATTAGTCACGTCTGATGATAAACTGAGAGTAGTGTCATCCGCGTAGATGTCTACGGTAGAATGCTGTGCCACCGATGGCAGATCGTTAATGAATGAGGAACAAAATAGGGCCCAAAATACGACCCTTGCGGTACTCCAGCCGACATGGCTCTTGGGGAGAAATGAGAGCCATTGATGTGTACATACTGTGCGCGTCCACTTAGATAACTGCGTAGCAATTCCAGCTCGCTATCGCATACCCCATAGGCTTTTAATTTCTCTAAAAGCAAACCGTGGTCTATGAGGTCAAAAGCCTTTTTATAGTCAATAAACACAAGCCCCTATACTTTGTTCTTGTCCAAGTCAAAGAGCAGCTGATCGACTAAGCGGATAAGGGTGGTCTCGGTGGAGTGAAATTTGCGGAAGCCGTACTTAAACCTGTGTAGTAGAGCGTTTTCCTCAAGGAAGTCGCAAAAGTGATCACAAATGTGCTTCTCGAGTAACTTTGAAAGTATAGGAAGCACGGTTATCGGCCTATAGCTGTTCTTATCGTCCCAGTTTCCTTACCCCTTATAAATGGGAGTCACTTTACCGACAGGGAAGGTTCTTTTTCGATACAGAAATTGATCAGCTTGCACAGGGAGTCTGCAATAGCAGGTGCAGCAATTCTCAGCAGTTTGGCACTCACTCCGTCATTGCCTGTAGCTTTGTACACTGGGATAGAGGGAAGAAGATTAACAACTTTGTCCTTGGATATTTGTGGAATATTAAATGTTCAAGGGGCCTGGGGGAGGTGGAGGAGGGGGCCTGGCTCCAGTGGACGTAACATTTTAGTAACATTTATTAACATTTTATTTTCACATTTTATATAAACCGCGTGGAGCGCTTTATATAGCGTCATATAAGGAACCGTTCGACCAATCAGATTGCTGGAAACTCTTTGCTCAGCTCTGAAATTATACTAAATAGATTTAGCCAAGCCTGAAAGCGGAGCTCCCAAGTTCGTAATATTAATGATAACACAAAAGACGTGCATTTGCCAAGACTCGCATGAGACACCCCTCCCTTTGTACTGATAGTCTCCCCTACCCTACCCGTGCAATCTGAAGGCACGTAAGTACGTACGTACGCTCGGTCAGTCACGTGACAACCAAACGAAAAGAGGTTGACCATATTCCATGGGTATGGGGCTCTGCCCCACGCGCGCAAAGCCCGCGTGGGAGCCCCGCTAATATATCTTGTTGATATCACGCTACGATGTTTTTCGACGAGATTTTCATCTCTTTAAATCGTTTGTTTTTTTTTAACATGTTTTACTTAGAAAAAGATAAAACAATTATTCACAGTGTCAAATAAAAAAAAATTGACAAGAAACTTTCGTATGAGTAAAGGGGGTATGTTGCGTCTGTGGGGTAACAAGGTAATTTGGTTATATCAACTCATGACAAGTTGAAATTTTTAAATTGGCCGCCGTAAAGAGTTAAAAAGCTGACGTTTCGAGCGTTAGCTCTTCGCCATTCGCTCTGACGATGGGCTAACGCTCGAAACGTCAGCCTTTTAACTCTTTACGGTGGCTAATTTATAATTTCAGCTGAGTTGATATTACCAAATTACCTGGTTCGTATGCGTGTCATTTAGTAAATAAACCCCTTTGGGCGGCTGGTATGTCGGCTGATAATGTCCGCGGCTGAGAGATTATCCGAAAAATGAATATTTGGCCGAGAAGCGAAGCTTCGAGGGCAAATATGAAATTTTGAGGACAACCTCTCAGCCAAGGACATTATCAGCCGACATACCAGCAAGCCAGAACGGGGTTTACTTATTTCATAACCCTCCCATTAATTTTCACATCGCAATTAAACTCCGCGTAAACACAGTAAAAAAGCCAGTGGTGATCTGATGGCGAATGCGCGTGATTGACGCAAGCAAGCAAGCAAAAAAAAAAAA